TACGTGGTTGCGTTGGGGTAAATATCACCCCATCATTGTGATATACTATCAAAAACACAAATGGAAAATTTAACTTCATCACATAGCTTAATTGATACTGTTGGTTTTACGGAAGGCTTCACAATTGCTTGTCGAATTTTTCATCCAGAGAATACTACCAAGAAGTGTCAAATAATATATTAAAGTTTATGTTTTTAATTGAATGATTATGATTTACTTCTCACTCTAAACAACCATGGGCCTTACTTACATTGATTCTGTACTTCCAGTTGTTTGTCGTAACTCCAATTCCATGAAGCGCTTCAGCTTTCGTATTTAATTTTCATGTTTTGCTAAGATTATTTATATTCTTATGTACACAAATGTATTCCTGTTTCTATGACTAGCGTGTCTCGTGGCGTATCGACCTTACTGAATAAATTATTACAGTATATCTTGGAGGGTTTTTAACACTTTGACCTTGGCTGCAGGTTGGTATGCAACGTGTAACAGATTATTATTCCAGAACAAATTATTACTATCTTGCTCCCTTCCAAAAGGTATCTGGTATTATTAATATTTTGTTGAAACTTATGGGATTATGCACATGACAAAGTATGATCATACACCTGCTTATCATCAGGATATCCAAATGTTTTAAAGGTGTCTAATAGAGCAGTTTCGGATAATACCCAGGGTTTTTTTCAACGGTTGGTTGTATGGTACTCCAGTTTCTTAGAGAATGAAGGGACAATGTACTACCAGCATCTTGCACTTACCGGTATCAAGAGGAAGCAAGTTGGCGGTTAATATTTGTGTACTTTATCACACATAATGAGTTGGACCATAAGACTATAGTATTCAAATTATCGTATGAACTAGGAATTCCAGGATTAACGCAATTGAATTAAGAAGACACAAGCACAAACGAATGTATTGTATTTGGAATTCGAAATCGAGCATTCAACAAGTACAAAAGAATCATTAGTTAATTCAAACACCACATCCGCCACAGCTTAAATAGAAGTATAAGTGTTTGTAATCGGTTGTACGTCTTCTTGTTAAGTTCATCCTGAGTCTGTCCGACATTGTATAAGATAAAAACTTTGTAGTATCTAGAAAGTGCTCATTAGTATTGGAATTAACAAACGAAATCGGAACAGACTCACCTGGAATTGTATACAACCAGCATGTCGGTTTTGTAATGAAATCATTAATATCTAGAATTCGAACCATAGATTTTTCAACACTATCCCCCCCCACGAAATAATGTTGGATCTTTATACTCCCAAGTTATGAATAATGTGGCTTCATTTAAAACATATATCTCACATTGTTTAGAGTAAACATTAGTTTTTTAATTTTGTTATGAGTAAACAGCAGTTGATATGAAATCATCCGAAATATAATAAAACTCGAGGTCACTTAGTACTCGTGCTTCGCATTGGGCAGGTTTTTCACGAAGATCAAATACATTATGAGGATAGGTAATATATGATATGACATCAGGATTTGATTCTTCTGAAATATTCTCATGAAATTCATCAGGACTGTCACTGCAGAGCGTAGGATCGTTAGAAAAATCAGCATCTATCCAAACCACATCAGGTTTTCGATCATGATTAGGTTCATTTAACATATTTTCCTCAGAATTGCAAGTAATTTCATTAGAAATATGTGAATCATTAGGAAAAGTCATACTTGGTACAATAGCATGAGAATTCTGATAAATCGGTTGATTAGGAAATGTTGTCTCACAAGAATTCTGGATTTCATTTAACTCTGAACTGCCATATGACTCTGCACTGTCTTTTGAAATCGTTGATAAAGATAAATGATCATCATGAATACTCGACTCAGTAGAATCAGAATTACAAGACTTAATATTAATTGCAGTAAGATGAACATTAGCATTACAAACTGACTGAACTTGTCCAATATCACGACATTTGAAGCATTTAGAATTATGAAATTTACATGAATTAGAAGAGTGGAACTTGCAACAGGACAAACACTGACCAAACTTGTCCCCATCCTCGTGAACTGCATCCAAATTCAATGAATTGTCTGCATAACCTTGAGTATGCACTAGGTTGAGATGACGTAGTAATGTAGTGGACTTTTTTATATCCTCATGAATCATTTTACGAAATCTTCCTCCTTTACGACATTTGAAATTTGTATACTGAGCATAGTCTAGCAGTAGATCCTTGAGAGCTGTATAAGAAAGCGAAATGGGTTTTTCCGGCATAGCCAGAGTTCTTAATAAGCTGTATGCTTCTTTTCCAATGAATGTGAGGAAGTGTGCCACAATATTAACATCCTCATCATCTTCCTTGGTCATAGCCCAGATTTCGAACCTTTCAAAGTAATCTTCAAAAGCTTCTGAAGTTGAATGAATATCTAACTTTTCCATTGCAGGCTCCATCGCGACGCCAATATAGTATTCAAATTATCGTATGAACTAGGAATTCCAGGATTAACGCAATTGAATTAAGAAGACACAAGCACAAACGAATGTATTGTATTTGGAATTCGAAATCGAGCATTCAACAAGTACAAAAGAATCATTAGTTAATTCAAACACCACAAAGACTCAACTCCAATATGTGGTCTCTCCGATTAGCTAAAGGATGAATATAGCCGTCCTCTGATATGTCTTGTATACCTTGAAGACAGTTTAATAAATTAGTAGGTAATATGTTTTCGTGGCGTCTATACGTTTGAAAAATTTATTTATTCCTAACCACACGATTTATGAAGCCAAAGATATGATAACAGGGATGACTCACATTCAACATTTAACACGGAGAGGTGAGGGATGATGAACACGGGAACAACAAATCGAAATGGCATTGCTCGGCCATGCTTTTTGTCGCAACTATATTTCTGTCCTCCCAAACTAAATGTGTTCTTCAGAAGTGCTAGACGTCATGTCGCTCATTGTCACGACATGAAGAATCAATGTGGATAGTGATGATGAATTCTTGGTCAAGCCCTCACTTGCACTGACCTAGCACGAACGAACACACCTGCATCCTACTCAGACATTATAGGCTCTCAATATGTAGAGACCAAATTAGACTATGTTCAGTTTACATTATTTCCTATTTCGCGGTTGTATTAGATACTTTTTACTCCCTAATTTGTCGCTCGAAGTAGACAGGTAACTCACTGGACCAATCGATACTGCTCAACTAAAGTCGGTCGCTAAGAGACACTCACTACTACCCTTAAAATTAAAAAGAACCACAAAATCGACTGCCTACTACCAGTGATCTTGCACCTATGGAACCTTTTACCCATCAACCGGTTAGGATAGAACAAAATAACATCAACACCAAGTTAATGTGAGTTCCTTCTTGTTTATTGTTTATCAGCTTTTAACTCATCAGTACACCACTTTGACTTGTCATTAATATTTTTTCTCCACTCGTTACATTATCCATAGCCCATATATTTCTATATCTCGCCTACTTTGATAAACAACTATCCTACAATATACCCTTCTTAGTGCCTATACTCGATCGGCAACCTATAATTTATACTATAGTCAAATAAAGCATTGGATTGATGCCTTACCCACAGTCAATAATTTGTAACTGCCTGATAAGCTTGTAAAATGGTGCTTATGGAAATAGTGTTTTCCAACAGGATGTGAAGCACAGAGCATTATGTGAGGTATGATATATATCCCAAATAAGCTTAAATGAACCTAACATTACAAAAGGAGGGGGTAGATTTACTGACCAGAAAACATTGATGGTGATGGCGATGACTTCAATCCACCCATGTCTGTGGGGCAGAACATTTTGTTTGTATCGTGCTTTTTATGGCTGAGAACAAGTAAAACATTCTATGATGTTGTGGTTGTTCTCCTACACTCACCATTCAGACTCATGTCTCTAATTTTATGCTATTCTACTAAGACAATCCACAACATACTGCCTCGAACATTTACACCAGGACTATGTGGTTCGCATTGGATCAAAAAGGAAAAAAACAAACTAAAATAATCAGACAATAAAAGATATTTATTAGATTCTTAACACTTTACTCTCTATATGCACTTTTCGTTCCAATAAACAGCCTTCTTAATTCCAACCTTGACTTCCCTTTATTTGAACTTACTCCATCTTGATAAATATCACAACTGATTGTTCTTTATTAATTATTATCTCTTCTAAAGCCTCTGATGACATTTCACTCTAGCAACAAAAGTTTGTATGAATTTGGTCTAATAGTTTATCATACCTCTGTCTGTTGCATTATAAAATGTTAAGCATTGCTTCGCGTTCATACCCAAGCGCCTTGCCGCTCCTCTGATTTTCTTCTTTGTCAGAATCTCGCTACGACGTTTTAATTACCCCGAACATTATGCTAAAAAGATATTTTAAATGAAGGCAGTAGAGTCGTGTCTGTGCACCAACAGTCTAACACGGTATAAAATCCTCTTATGACGATCAAGTTCACGACCGAAAATTTACCGAGACTCCATTTGTCGTTAGTTCTCAGAATTCCGCGTCCGTGACACTACGCCCGAAGCTCTAGTGTGCCCAATCCCTACTCTCAGAACTATAGTTATTACTATAGGAGTTGACAGTGGTTTCTGAACCCTCATAGTCTACATTAAGAACTAATCTTAACTGGACGATCATTACAAACAGGTGGGTACTTAGCATTTGCTTTGAAAATCCTCGGATGTTCATATTTACGGCATCATCAGGAGTTGGACAGTACATCTACAGGTCTCTCTGTCAGCCCATAGCTCAATAACCTCTGAGCTGACCATAAGCACATGCGAAATTACTGAAGCTTGCAAAACCTGATCCAGATGTCTCAGCAATAATATTAAACACAAGGATTAACAAATGTCACATGGCCTATCTCTATAACTAAAGACTAGCATGATTGCCTAAACATCTGACAGGAATAACCGTCTTTTGTCAATTAACAAGGTTCATCTACTTTTTATCCACCTACCTCATGATCAATTAAGGAAGTACTAGATTTTGTATTTGTGCTAGTAAAGGTTTTGCTTTCAAGGTTGACATGAACGCGGTAAACCGATTGTAATATGCCGGTAAGATAGTTTCTCAACTTTTTTTCATCGGTTAGAGGCAGCGTTCGTACACTTCAACCGAACAGGACAAGGCAAAGTCAGTCAATAAAGAATTTTTTAGTAAGCAATACAAATCCTTGAAGACGTATATCCGAAGTAGTTCTTATTGAAAGCGCGATATTATGTTACAGGTACTGGCTCTCATCCTGTTCTCAACTCAGGAATATGCTCATCACAAAGTCCGGGGATACCTGGATCTCCTGCTTCATTAGCCGCAAAGAGAAGGGTCTTTTATCAAGATGACAATGGAAAAATTATCAGCTTAACTAAATCAAGGAAATCTAATCATTCCGTTAGTTTTCGATTGAGAAGTTATAAAAAGTATTTCAGGACGGCAGTAAGCTGATTTCTGATTCGAAAAGTAGATTGGTACTGGACTTGTCCTCTTTGGGGCTTGACAGCGTTTCTCCGGACATTGGGAGTCTCAGTCATTTAATAGAGCTTTTTTTGTATGATAATAAGTTAACATGTCTTCCCTTGCAGATTGGACTTCTGAAGAATCTCCAGAGAGTATGCCGTAATTTAGTTTACTTTCTTTCACAGTTATGGCTCCAAGAAAACTCCCTCACATTTCTACCAGATGAGCTTGGTTATTGTTCAAAACTAACTCATCTTGATATCAGGCACAACAGGCTTGAAGGTTGCATTCCTGTTGTTATAACAAAATTCACTTTAATGAAACAACTCTACCTGACTTACAATAAATTAACAGATATATCTGCTATTGGTAATTTATGTGTAGGTCTAGTCTTGTTATTTTCACTTATCCTGTATGATATTTTTCTTGGATTTCATTTTGTCTTACACATCAACTTTCTAAACCTAGCGTTTGTTTCAAATAATAACGTAATACATTTTGACAGACAGTTGAGTTTCGTTTTCAGTCTAGGAAGTACAGAAGGCTGTGGGACTTGTGGTAATTACGGAGAAGTAAGTTCTCTTATTTAAAACAATTATCCATTCAGTGTTCATGAAGATGGAGTTAGAAACATGTGTTGAGTTCTGTAGGTAACTAATGGGTTATTCTTCATGGCCTTTTGAATGATTTTGGAGTGCCCATGTTAATTTTTCCGTTTTAGAAGGTAAAAAATGAGGGAATGTCTAATGCGAAATTGACGTTTAATAGGCTGCGATGTCCTCTGATTGTTGTGTCTCATAAAAGAATTAGGTTTAGTTCAGCGGATCTATCATCATATACTAGCCCTGAGATCCATGCGTTCAACTTGCTTGAGATTTTTATACCTTTTCCAATTTCTTACTACCCTTTTCTGGCAAGTTAACTGCCTGTTTGCAACACATGAGTTTCAGTTGAACTCACAGCGTATATGATTTAAAGAATTGCTGAAATCTCTACTTATTAACTATAGAATTCTGATACATTTGAGGGTAACTAAACATGTACAACGGTTCTAAAATTTTGATGGATACTAACCTCTGAATGACTATGTGTACAAAAAACAAGTGACTTAACATTTTTCGCAATTTGATTATGTGTTAATGACCAATATGCAACATAATCCACCTAGATCCATTAAATATCAGTTGCTGGGTGCCATAAAAATATTCCGACTTCTGCGGACCTTTTAAAACCTCTGCACTACCCCCTTTGTTTCATGTCTTTCATCGTATCTTGATACATTTATTAAGAGTCTTCAGTCACAAAACTGACGATGACAAAAAACCAGGAAGATCATTGACATACGAGGGAATTGATGCTAGTTCTAATAATGCATCCTGCATTACTTCATCGGGCACCGTTTTTAAGCTAGACAGTTAATGCTCTTTATTTAGGTTCAACTGAAAAGCTATTTATCCACAGAAATAATCTTCTACTTTGATACTGTCCTACTTGGTAACAGTCGGGTATGTGGAACTTTGTCAGGGACCTGATGTCAATGGAGAGTAAACCAACATGTAGTCAATAAACTTCAAGAGCGACAATAGGTTGATACTTTAAGATCTTTCTGTAGAAAAAGCCTACTGTAGACATTCTGCGAGATGTTTTTACTTTACGTTGCAAATATATCTTCATAGCATAATGGTCTTTCTTAAATGAGTTTAGCACTATAACGAATTTAGTTTCTGTTACTGCACTAGATGTACTTCAGAGTTTCGAAACATAGAAATGTGCTTAAAATCACCAGGTTAGCGGAAGTTTGGTTAAATTATTTTATGGTACAGTGCTATTATTCGATAATTACAAAGGATAGCAAACATAGGTGACAGCTAGAATAAAAGTTAGTATTATGTATCTTCGGCATAGCTTCTCTGTGTGATGGCTATTAATACTCTCTTCCTGTTAGCATCTAACGAAGAAAATTTAAAATCATGTTACGGCTATTACTGGTTTGTTATGTGCATATTTGAGTCATATTATACTTTGATCAAGTCACATGTAGTACAATCTTGAAAAGTGGTTGAAAAAGGCACTGTTATATCTCATGCATTCCTCTGCTTTGTTTCAATCACCAATGTACCGCTCTGAATTATGACATCTGTGATTAAATACTGCTTACTCAAATTCTATCAGTAGATTTTTGTTCCTGACATTATTGACGATTAGAGTTAAAACACCTTGGTAAATCATTGATTCTTATTGAAGTCATTTTCGCTCACAAGTATAACCGAATTATGAGCTTTTTTAATTTATGAGCATGTTTTTGCATGCTAAAACTATAGTTTCTACCTTTTTTAAAGGATGTAGTTACTTTCAGAGAATGTTTAGGTGCCATTGCAACTCTTTAGATAGTTAAAATAGTCCGTTGTGTCATTGAATAAAAATAAAGAGAATTCAGCGAGGAAAATCTTCTTTTCGACGAAATAATTTGCCTAAGCTATACATTCGTATGTTTAAGGGCTTTCATATTATCACTATGTTTTGATTTTCGGATAAGTATTTTGTAATTTTAAACCATAATAAGTTATTATTGTCCTTAAACAATTTTTCATGGTTATTATCCAGTTTTATTATTATGACCTTTATGTCTTTCATTTTTATTCATACTTGTCATGTAGACTAAAGTTCCACAAATATTTCATCAAACAGTACTCGAATCTTTGATGTTTTTGGCTGTAGTAATTGTCCACATTATAAAATTAATCATAACCTGTATCATTTTACCCGCAAAATATATTTTCTTATTAAGCTTTTACAGACATTAGTAGTGAAAAGTAATCAATTGCAAGGACCGATTCCAGATTGTATTGGAAATCTTACGCAATTGAAAACTCTGGATCTGTCGAAGAATCGTCTGACCAAAATTACTGAAAGTAGTTATTTTGTCTTTTTGCATGTAGTCAACTCATTATTTAATGTGTTCACATGTTGTAAGAAATATCTGCTGTAAATAAGAAATTTGTAGACGACTTAGAAATGTCACTTAATTCAACATGATGATAGTAAAACGTATATAGGAAGCGCCAAACTAACAAGCGATAATCAAACTACTTTGCATGTACTTAAATTCACATATTTATCAGCTTACATACATTGAATCGGCCGATAGATGAAGCATCCCACACTAATATAAAGAAAATTAAGCTCTACAATTTGTACCACTTACCAAGAATTTCAAATTCGGTTGATGATCGTAGGTGAATTTCTGCAGTGGCGTTCACCATAAAATGCTCTTTACAATATGTAATGCTACCATTCGTTCCAATTATGATTAGTCATATTCCTCTACCCATGTACTACTACTAGCACTGCTAATATAGATACTAAAAAACATATGAATGATAGTTAAATACTTTTTAACCCAAGTAGATAACCGTTTATATTACCTGGTTTGTATGGTGAAACGTTTGGAACTACGAAGGTAAACTCTTTGCTCTGTAATCTTTAAGTAGAAAGGACGTTACAGTTACACATAATTTTTTGATTTAAAATCTATTTAGAATAGTACAAGGAGTAAATGTTTTGTAGATTATTGGTCCATGTAATTTTCCATAGTCCCATTTTCTTTAATCAATGTTGATGTTCTATAATGAACGTACCCACTAATTTTAATGATAAGAACTGCTTTAAAGTTTGACATTGGATGCCGGTTCAGTGACATACAGGTTTAGCACTTGTACGCGAGATCAAAGGTCCTGGGTTATAGTCCCGGTTGCAGGGTTGTGTATGCTCATCACTGATGAGTTTCATGCTAGGACGAGATGGTCATCCTGTGCTTCCAGGCGTTTATTAGTAATCTAGCTAAGATCAATTCATGAGTTGAGCTATGGAAATCCTACAATCGTCATAAATACCCCTATAATAAAACTTTTTCCTCACATGAAAGTGCAGTTCCTTAGTAATCGTTAATACATATCTGTTCGTCTGTTTAATGAAAAAAGATGTGCTTTTTAAAGTTTTTCTAGTCTATCTGGATTAGTTGCTTCATTTTATAGAAATTCAATTTTTTTGGTGGTAAAACTATTGAAATTCAACAGCATTTTACCAATTTAGATTTTCTGAATGTATAATGAGATGGTAAATTCAGAAAGTTCAGTAAATAAACAATACTTGAACAAACATTAATTGATTTGTACGTAACTTTATATCGATTTTTTTCTATCATTTGATAATAACATTTCAAAGTTATATGCAGGTAGATATTTTATATTTTGGTCATGTATTTGAACTCTTCCTTCAGTTTAATGATGGATGAATGGATGGATTAGTACATTAAATGTAATGGCTGTACAACAATCACAGAATATGAAATTCGTTTTTTTGCCAATTTTGAGACAATCGAATAGTAAACGTTATATATATATATATATCGTGTCTTAACCATCACCTAACTTGATGAGGGATGTTAATCGGTGTAGGAGTAAACTGGAAAAAAAATTAGAGGTGATCAGACTCAAATCTGGCATCTTCATCTGGGTTTTGAATTCCAGTGTTTCTTCATATATGCCTCTTCAATAACTCTGTGAAACATATTTTAAATCCTCATTCTTTCTCGTTATCCACCCTGTCATATTATTTTGTTACTTTTCCTACTACTCTCAACTTTATCTCGTTAAGCTAATGTAGCATGGAAACTTGAGCCATCCCATATATTTACCAAGCTCAAAGTTGATCATAACTGACTAGCAATCAAAAAAGAAACTCTGTACCTTAAACTTTATTTTCAAGGTGGCACAGTGGGTAAAATCCCCATCCACCTAACCAATAAATCCAGCAAAATGACTTTCAATACCGCCATTTTGAGCGTTACATTTTCAGCAAAGGCAATGCTGTTTCAGTAAACCAAGGAAAAATACCGATGATGGTCTCGTCTTGGTGTTCTTATCAATTTAACTTGCCCTATGGCTCTAGTTACGTAGGCTGTACTCAAAGGGCTTTATACTTGCGTGTGGATTTTGGTAAGTGGTTCGGAAGTTTGGCTTCTTATGTACACTTTTGCTTAAAAGTTTTCATTTACATCCGAATGGCTAAGATGTGGAATGAATTTATTGTTAGATTTTCCCATTTTCTTGCATATTAAGCAATCTGTCAGGCTGAACTAAATGACAAGGTGATGGAATATATATATTTATGAAGTAAGAGAACATTCAACATGACATAACATTTAGAGCATTAAAACACAGTATAACTAAAACTACTGATTTGTAAAGTAATTCGCTAATTCAAAAGATATTTAGTTTCACACAGGATTTTGTTTCTCATGATCCTTTAAAATAAATATCTGTTATTAATACAGTTAAATGATTATAACTATCATAATTTTTATCGTCTAAATGTCTAAATGTCAAAAGTTTTGACAATTTTATTAGTGTTTTTTCTGATTTTCACTAAGGTCACAGATAATTACTGTCAAATAATTATCCAATTGATTAACTGAACCGTTTAAATTCTTCATCAGCAGTTATTGATCACATTAAGTTGGACAAGGTCGATATATTGTGTGGACTAATACATTTCCGGAAAACTGAATTTATTTTCCACCTCTTTAAACATTATTCATACATTTTAGTTTTGTTTAGACACACTGACTTCTATACTAATTGACCACTGGATAGAAAACTGTAGCCACTTTTCAATCGTGAGTGTAAATAAGTATTAAATCATGGCATTTGATATTGTACTGCCTATCCTATATAATGTTTTGTGAATGCAAGCGACGTGCATAACTCTATGTAGTGTTGGTCAAGGTCAGAAAGAATAACAAGTAAAGCATATGTAACTAAGCATTAAGTGCAAACAGCTTTCCATCCATTACATTTAGTAATTTAAAGCATTAGAAATACAGTATAATCAAACTCAGAGATCCAAGTGTCATAGAATGATAGGTAAGCTGAGTAACAACTTTAAATGTAATTCTTTATTTTATTTATAAAATTTACCTTTAAACTTCCGAGTTGAAAAAAATATTGTTTTGCATAACATGTGGAGTAATAAAGATTAATCGTAGTGATAATATTGCATTTTGTATTAGTGAAATCTTGGTCTTTTGCATAAAGGAAACATTAATTTGAAGATAGTTCCAGTTACAGATTGACACCCAATGGGTAATAATTACTAAGCGGAAGACAATCAATGCTTGTCCCGTTCCTATATAGAACTCCTCAACGGTGATAATACACGATCTCACATAGAGTTAAACCCACGACCATAAGATCTTGTACAGGACATAACACCTTTAGCCCACATTCTCAAGTCATTTTACAATATACCTTTAATCAAGTATTATCACTTGGTATTTGTCACGCTGCTGAGTTTATTGAAGTTAAGCAGTTCACCGCTCTTTGGTTTAATGTGGTTCTCTAGTTGATGTCAGTCTCTGACATAAACTGTCTTAAGATTGGCACAGTCAACCTAAATCACGCAGATGAACATATATATTAGTTTGGATCTTATGAGTGAAATTTTCTGTAAAAATGGTCAGTCATCTAGCAAGTAGTAAGTTATCTAGGTAAACAAACGATTTTTAAATATGGTTTGGATTTTATTAATGTATGAAACAACAGAAAACTTTAAATGTTATTTTGTTATTATGCAATTTAAATTGTATATATTCAGTCACAGTTTTTATTGAGTGTACATTTTATTCTTATCCATGGACAGATGATAAATAATATATAGACTAAAAAAGTGGAATACCTACGACTGAAGGAAAATTAAGAGGTTGGAACTTGAATGAGTGTGAAATCAATAGCAGACTTAGTAATAGGGTTAAATTAACTATCATACTAATTGAACTCAAGACAGAGTCTTAACGTCCATTGTTCCCAGCAATATATATATATATATATATATATATATATATATATATGTTGTGGCGAAACAAACTATATATAAAGTTAATGAACTGACATACATACAGTTATGTAAGTGATTAGATGATTTATTAATTTACACATTTCATTTCATTGCTAACAAAATAATAATAATAAATTTATAGTATATAACTGACATAATTTTTTATTTTATTATAGACAAACAAATATCATAAGAATATTATTTTAAATTACCATTTCACCATTAAATAGACTTTATCAATCTATGATATTTTTCAATAGTATATCGATGTTTCAATGATTTTAAGCAATAAATTACTATAATCTTAGTATAATACCTTTCATTCCCCTAAATAAAGGATCACTTATTATTAATGTCATAACTTATTCATCAAGAAAAGACTCTCCTCATTCAGTATAACGAATTTTTCTTTCTATAAATATAAATATGTTAATTATTTTAAGCGTTGACCTGAAATGTTTTCCTAACAGTTAAAAAAATACTCCATATCAAAAAATTCTTCATCGTTGTTTTACGACTGAAAGTGATAGTTCAAAAATACCAATAACTGCAATTGATCATTTAAATAGTTTAATGAATTCTCTTCTTTAATTATTCACTTTTTTTTGTTTTAATAAATCGAACACTGATGTTTACTTAATTATGCTTATGTTGTTTCGTTGTAATTACACGTAAACTCAATAAACTTACAGGTCATCAGAAATATTTTCACTGTTTATTGATTTATATAGAAAACGAAACCCAAATGGATATGTTATTTTCCATGAAATAATTTTATATGTATATCAATATAATGTAAACAATTTGTTACTACATACGTATGTCAGATTGAATAGGAGAAATCAACAAGTAAAAAATTTCCTCTGTATAATTTTTTTTCTATTTTTCTCAGAATGGGTTTTGTGGAGAGTTTTAGAAATTTCGCAGGTTGAAATCATGAGTCGATTGAAGCTAGACCACCATGGAGAACCTGGAAGCACTGGACGGCCGTTTCGTCCTAGTATGGGACTCCTAAGCC